TTGTGAAATAGAATGCTCCAAATTACCTTATCAAGGATCTCCCTCTTCTACATGGACATCGACACATAATTCTTACTTTAAATACTTCCACAAGTCTTCATTTATTCATTCATCAATCACTTAAACAGTTAGTTTCACGCAAAAAATTCAGATAAGTTCTTGAGATAAAGAAGAAAATTAGCGAGAGATTGCAAAAAGAAATATAATGGAACAGAGCACCAGCAATACATCAAGAGATCCTCTATCTGCTTTCTTTATGGAGGATGAAATTGAAGTCAGTCAAATTTTACCTGATCTTCATAAATTGATCGACGTTTCTGAACCACCGAAACGGGGTTTCAAAAGAAAGAGAAGCAGCAACGGTGAAGGACAATCCACGTCTCATGATGCAGCTTCATCGTCACCGAAGTCTGTTATGAATATTGAACAGAAAAGGCCGAAGATCATATGGAGATTCACCAAACTTCCTATCTGTTTCTCGTCTAGTGAATCAGATGAAAATAATTGCTCCAACAAAAGGGTATTTTCTTGTTCCAATCTCTATTTCCTTTTCATTTTTCTTTTGATTTTTCAGTAATTCTTTATTATAATTTGAATGGATTTGAATTTCGACGACTTTCTTGGTTTTTGTTTTCTTTTTGATACTTCATTCCTTATTGTAAACCTTCAAGAATCACAAGTTTTTGTGTGCTATGTTTTATAATAATTCCCTGTCCTTTTTTATTTTTATTTTCGTGAAAATATTTATAAATATCTGCATGGAGTGTGTTTTTGTATATTCTTTTTTTGTTTTTTGTTTTCTTGGAGTATTTCTTTTTCTGAAATTTTATTTTGTATTCCTTATTTTAGTCTTCAAGAATCCCCTAGTTTTATTCACAGTGTCTTGGGTGATTTTGCAGACCAAAACCGAGTACAAATTCGAGATAGTAACAGTACAAGAAGGATATAAATGCCCTGATCTTAACATCCCTAGCGAGGACACATTTCGGGAGGATGATATTAACAAAGTTGTTGCTGATAGAAGGGCCAAATGTACGGAAGCCAGGAGGATAAGGCGGGGAATAATCAATGCGAAGTTGATGAAGAAGTTTGCTATACACCATGCTTGATGGATTGGAATGGACAGAATCAAGAAAGAGAAAAAAGTTTAGTACTGAAAATCAGGAGGTTTTATACATATATTCCTTCTGTAATTTCTTTGCTAGAGTTTTTATGTAAATGGACTGAAAGTGTAAATTGAAGAGTTATATAGAGATAGTTCAATCTGATTTTCTGAGTTTTACCATCATCTTCATATATTTTTTTACCTTATAGGATGAACTAACTTTCTAATGTAACTGATTATTGTATATGTCTCATTAAAAGAGAAGCAAAAAGAAATTTATTGCCTAGTAATTGGTTAACATCTTGTGTTATCCGGATTTTTATTGTAAACGTATCATAGTAATTTATTCGTGCATGTCAAGTATTTGAAGCACCTACACATGTATGTCACTTGCACTTTATAGATCCACATTTTTCAGCGATATGAAGGTTTGAGTAATTTGATAGAG